CACACAGTCAAATGGCCAAGCAGAAAGATTTGTGGATACATTCAAAAGATCTCTCATGAAGTTGAAAGGGCAGAGGACACCAGTAGAAACACTGCAGAATTTTCCTATTGTTTTCCGAACAACACCTAGTGATATGCTACCATAGCAGAATTCCCCCACAGAGATGCTGATGGAAAGGAAATCGAGAACGATGCAGTCTGATGCGCTCCGGAGCCACACCACCACCATCTCAGACCAAATCTCAGAAGCTGCCCACGTACGAAGTTAGGTGGCCGGCGTTCGCTCCAAACTGCAGAGCTAATCATCATCCTTGAACCGAAGTACGTATGGTTGGAAGACTAGTCCAAGTACGAGGTAAAGGTAGTAAAAGACAAGCGGACTCGACACCGAAACCAACTAAATGACAGTGGTCCGTTGTGCCTTTTAGTATGCTATTGTATGCGTATTGATTTGTGTTTACTGCTACCGGTCTTGGTTCTGGATTTTGCGGAGTATACTTTCCCATTCAAAGCTTGGACTTCTTCCTTTAGTTAGTGGAGCTGGGACGCATCGAATAGCATATTGGTCTTTGGTCACCGAGTCTTTGTTCCGTCCGCAGTCTAAGCGAACACGTGACCGCTTCAAACCTAGCACTTTACAATACTTTCGACGTTACTGTCCGCAGATGTCCATATACATGTCTGTATGCGCGCTGTCTGTATACGCTGCAGGGTTACCGGAGTTGAGTTCTTTGCATACTCAAGATCTTAGTGTTTTTAAAATAAGTGGTACTCCAAAAACATTAAACATGAGCTTTATCGTCGATCTTGTTTGACCAATCGTTATGTACATACTTCACGACCTGTTGGAGTTCATAATTCGATAGCTAAGTATCCTGGACTATATTTACCGTTGCTGGCAAGGCTTCAATCGCACCGAAATAAGTCGTTTTACTTCTGTTTCCGTTAATACTGCCGCAAGGAAAGCATCCTCATCCATTGGTCCATTTAAGCAGATCGACCAGCCTGTCCAACACTGGTCAATAATATTTATTTATTGATAGAATCATAACAAACGAGGAATGGAGCTCACCGCTATAAGCCAACTGCTGTGCATTGGGATGTCTTTCTTTGAACTGAAAATTCATACGCGGGCTTATGTTATGTTACGAGTATGAGCTGTCCTTTGTAGACCATCCCATGAATCTTTTAACTGCAACGATAGTGGCAAGAGTTTTTTCGTTTGACTGCAGTTTTTTTTCGGAATATGACAGTGTTCTAAATACATGTGCAGTAACCTTCTGAGAACCATCCGGTTTCCGAAAAATAAACCTAAGTGTCCATTGTTCGATTCATCAATGTCAATGAGCATTTCAACATTAGTTGTTGGAATGAGTTAGCAGCATATTTGATGGCAAAGGTTTGGACACACATGTAGCACGTTTGATGTAGATATGTGCGTTGGCAATGCCTTTACGATAACGTATTTTGCATACTTACAATGATCCGTAGGTAATAAATCGTTTTGATTTAAAACATATTTTATCACCCATCAAACTAAGGTCTGTTATACGTCAAGTGATTAAGTGTTTCGTAATCAAAAGATGGCATAAATACTAGTACTTGTAAAGTTTATCTAGGTTGAAGTGGCTACAGTATTTACCTCAGTGTATAAATTCTTCAGCTTCCTTAAAAGGCACTAAGTGATTGGTTCTATAGACTCAATTAAACTCAGAGCTTTATTAATCTTAACTTATGTTATATGCCTTATCCGAGTATTAGTGACTCCTAAAACACCACAACAGATGTGCTTATTGAACTGCTGAACGGACGCTTCAATGAGACATTGCACTACTTTAACAAAAAAGTGATTTGACGTTCAATGTCTACAAATATCTGTCATTACGACTTCAAGCTACGGAAGAGTATAATGGGAACTTAATCATGTCCTGTTACCACTTCACTAGAAAGTCGACGAGGCGGAAATGAAATCACTAAAGACGAAAGGCTTAAACACCAGAGAGAACGCCGAGGTAGAGGAGTTGAATCCTACACCTCCCTGTAACGTCAGTACCTGATGTGTTTCTGCCATCATTCTATTACTAGCTAGCCACCTTTTGTCTATTTACCTTCGCTCATGTTTACTTGAATTTTCTTGGATTAAGATGAAACCATATTCTAAACAAACTAGAACACTATATACACAATTTATAGTTAAAAGTTCAGACTTTGGACATGAGTGTAAGCACTATCCTAGTAGAATTATATTACTTGGTAATTTCAAGTTCGAAGATATCAGATATTATAATGATCACCGTCAGATCCATCTTGAATGTTTTTTGTGTGTAGATCCCTTCATGTATACACTTGCAGTAAATTCCTGTTGATTATTTCAGTTACACATTCTGTCAGCCCTTTTAATTCCGATATTTGTATTCTATTGTAGTTTTCGTTTTCTTTTCTGAGTTCCCATGTTTCTTCCTGAACTACATTTTTGTTGTTTTTCTGGATACTCTGATTTGGCGGCAGAAATTGATATGCTCCCTTTTGATTGTGTTGCTTGCGGAATGGTGCATTTTTTATTGTTAATCGAAGCAGTCCTCGAGAATTAGAAATACTTTGCGTTCTAACTAATAAAACGGGAAGAGAAAATCGAAATTTGACTGATTTATTCATTATGAGTTTTGTTCATTATTACTTCCGTTCTGATTTAATGTTATGATTACTCAATCTAATATTTACTTAGTTTTCTCGTATGATGTCTTATTTTGTATAAAATACGATATTCGTGTTTCAATTGACATGGACTATGCTCAGCACATGATTTGTCCTAGCTGAGTGTTTTTTTAAATAGTTGATTTCATCCTAATTATTAATGAAATTCTGTGTACTACCAATATATAAATGAGTGTTTTTTCGACTAAGGTCGTTGTTGTCGTGTTCTGGGGGCCAATCCTGTGTTTTAACTTCTGCGTCATGAGAATTGCAGGGCTCTCTTGTTTCGAGTATAAGTGATAAGCATTTTCGACACAAAAATCATCGACGACCAGGTATAAAAAGTAGCGTTAAACGACAAGATATATCAATAACACGACTAAAAATTATCTTCCGACCACATCTGTACGGGATTTACCAAGAAAGGATAGAATAATATTTAATTGTTGCCGTCAATATAATTACTGATTTAACAATTACTGGTTGAATAACCGGGTGGTAATATTTGTTTGGGTAATAATTTACGTTTATATTTGTTATAAAATCTAGAGCTGTCTTTCACCCAATCACTCTGCTTTGTTTTCAACTGGGCGATAGAGGGTATTTGTACTACCTAGACAGTTATTCTTAATCCACACCTTAGTTGGTATCTTGCAATCACACCTAGATTATTGTGATTTAAGAATCATATGGAGAGGTCAGTGGCTAACGGGATATACAGGTTCACCGGTGAAGCTGAATCTGATCAATACTGTGATTATTGTCAATGCAGGAACAGCATTATTTACTGCCAATTTCACTTACACGTAAAAGAGGAAATAAGAAGTTCTAATTTCTTACTCCATCCAGAATCCTATGCAAAGGCTCAGGGAAATTTTGTATAACATAGTTTATATAAGAATATACATATTTCTGTCGCATCCAATATCTTTACGGAAACCAAATGTAAATCATCCGACTTCATAGCTTTTTCTTTCTGATGTTAATGTGCTGTTTCTAATCTTCGTTACCGTCATACCCATGCAACCGTTCGACTTAGAGGCAGTAATATTAGTGGACTTGACAGTTTCTTGAGGTTAGTTATATCTAGAGATAGAATGAATACATCTATTTTGAGACAATAGTCTCAAAGTACACAGCAATTACGACTGTTCCAGTCAATGAGATGTAGTAAAATCATAACACTATGATTATTCAGCCAAAAAAGCTGTAATTATTCAGAAAAATAAAGACAAAGGGCGCATGATACGAGTGGGATGTGTGCAAAGTAGTTATGTAATAAACATTCACGAAAACAGTTTAAGGTATCGATGAGAGATGATTTTTCACTGGTTAGTCATAGCAGGAAACATCTAAATGTAGAATGCGGATGGCTACAAGGGTGGAAAATGTGCTCAAAGCTAACAGGATGATCAAATAATTCATTTACCGATTAAGTAAATAAATAACCGGATCAATGGCTAAAATTGACCCCAAAACGGAGATGATATGAAGGAAGGTTAGGCAGGAAAACAATTACTATTAATATTGGTAATAGTGATAATGACACTATACAAACCATGATACAAGTTTCAGAATCACTTATAACCGAAGAACAGTCCAACTCATTCAATAAAGCCTCAGATATTCCAGAGTGATATCAGGTTGAGGTATGGAGACGCCTCCCCGTCTATTCCCGACCATCAGTTTCACGTCGCGGCGCAACCTTCTTAAGGCACGCGAACTGTGATACTGACTAAAACGATCTTCATTCATATCTTACAAAATATCAACACAGCTGATTATAATACTACATAGAAAACTGTATCTTTTTTAACAGTGATCTTGCCTGGCCTACGTCTAATAAGGGAGATCAAATTACTTGAGCGTGTTTAGCGTGTGGAGACGAATTTAGTGAAAAGTCTTTCTAAACTCCCTTAATATGAGCGTTTAAAACGCCTAAACCTCTTCCCCTTGTCCGATCGTAGGAGGCGAAGTGACCTTATACTGATATTTATTACGTTTAATTATGATCCGAATCCTAATACATCTTATCTTTTTGATCCCTTCAGTACTATTAGTATCTGAGGTTATGTCAAGAGGGTTCACAACCGGCGTTCTAATAAACTCAATTTGGGGTCCCGATTTCTTATCGAGTTGTCTGCGACTGAAACGCCTTATAAGAAATGTTTGAATTTTTAGTGAAAGGCGATCTGTCAAGATAAACACAGGTTCACTAACTCACTATCTTTATTTCTGAAAACTTGTTAGTTTATACTAATTTTGTTTTACCTTTTGAATTGAAATCAGAGTACATTTAACCAACTTTGAGGCTTTTCAAAACGTCGACTGTACGTTCTCTGTTACAACATATAAATTATACCTTTGTGCAGTATGAAATCGTCTTGGTTAGTGTGAAATATTCATAAGCAAGCAAACGTGACCCGTCAACTTTTATTACCATTGCATTGATAATGTCAAAACATGATATGAACATGCTCATCATTTACCACTTACCAATTAGTTCGTCATGATGTCTCACCATGTAAATTCATCGATCTCCCTTAATTTTAAAATTAAATACTGTCATCACGTTTTCACGGTTTTTTAAGATTGAGAACATGCTTTTTTTAGAAAGGATGAGGAATACGAATATGTTTTCACCATCCTTAAGAAATTTGTTGTTTATCTTTCATATTTGTCGATATTTCACAATACTCGGCCAAGTTATTCATATTCGTAACTTTTGTTATTCATATAGTTCAGTTTTTGGCTGTTATTAGCCTATGAGATATTTATTTTTAGGGCTTACGTGTTATGTACGTAATCTATCTATGTAGATAGATTGTCACAAATATTTCTGTAGTTACCTTACTACTATCTATTATAAATAACCAATAAATGTGCCCAAACTTTCAATCAACGCATTCAAATGGTCCATTGAACATTAATAAATTTGCTTATTATCATAGCCTATAGGTTATTTTGTATAGAAAGAATAACAATATGCTGTTATATGAAGTCACTGGCAAAGAAACTTCCACGTAACATTTCTGAACTCGAAGGTTAGTCCTCATATTAGCGAAGTCACTATATTTATTCCTTACCAAGTTTTAGGAAGCACAGTTCTATGCTGTACCGAAAATTCTATTCAAAGTTCGTGTTACTGCATTAGAATTTTGTACAGAAGCTTGTCAAGAAATCGTGATAATAAGATCTCTGCTACGTCCTAAGTAGTTGATCATATGACCCTAGGGTGCTCATCCCAACTGAGGACAATAAGCAGATTATCGTTTACGTTTGCTAGTCTTATATTTCAGGAAACAAATACCATACAAAAAATGAATTGTCAATGTTTGATGCATGATTACATCAAGAAAACATCCTTATTTGCGAGGTAAACTAGGTTTCGAAAGTTTTCGATTCGTTGTTTCGAGGATAAATTTGTGTAACTATTAGGAATGGATAGGTCTTGGTACGTCTACCTTAATCTCTCAGTACTTAATTCTATAGAAATGTTAACACCAAGTGACAAAAATTTGTACATTTTCTCCCTAGAAAGAGTTCTCGGTAAAGTTGTGTGATTAATTTGTTATTTAAAGGACTTCATCTATAAGCTAGTTTTCAGTTACAATTAGCGAATACTTTTTTAATGAGTTTAAGTAATATGTGGATCTTTAATTTATAAAGATTCTATCAAATATGCTTTCAACATTTATTTTCGTGTCGGATTTCAAACCCTTATGACTTATTTGATGTTTCTAATCAAATATCTGAAATCAGCATCATAGGTGGATGGAGATGTTTAATAAGTACAAGTACTAATATTCGTACGTTCTACCTTCATAAAGTAGAAAATCAAATGTAGCGATGATATTTTCTCAAAAAGATTGATTTGGGTAGTAGTTTGGAGGCAGAATAGAATCAGTCTGTCATCCTCACAGTGGTTGTTCTAGTAACCGCAAACAAATCAAAGATTAATAACGACGTTGAAATATAGGATTACATACAGTATGTCAGATGATATTTCGTGTTTCTGTGAATTAAATTGTTTTTGTAACTTTTTTATTCAAATCAACCTCAAATGTTCTGAAGATATTTATCAGATATTATGTGCATTTCATGGCTCCAAAAATTAATGTAGGTTACGGCACTTTTTAAAAGTATGTTGTTCGTCTAGTAAACCATTTATTCTGCTAGTGATTTCGTCTTTAAATATCCGATAGTTAAACCAATTATTCTCAAATACATTAGCACTAATGTTCAAGTGTTTATTTGCTTACCTGGTTAGTCTAAATAAACTGCTTTATGGACAAATCTCAAAATATGTCAATCATAAAACGATTTATTGAAGAACTATACAATTTACTAAGAAATTTAAAATTAACACAACATAGCTACTGATGTAAGATTAGGCTTATTGATATCTACTTAACTACTAAATGTAAACTATTGTTTAAGTTGTTGCCAACTTACCTTTGATTGTTCAAAAATAAAGTGGTATGGTTATGTTGGCTGAAAGTTCACATTATTGGGAACATGAACGGAGTTTTTCTAGTGAAATCTAAGCACCAAAGGTTAGGAATTGAATATTCTTTAATTCATTCATATATTTGTGAGAGGCAAAAGTCTGTATGATGAACTAAAGGTGATGTGTAAAGCTCTCTACACGAAATACAAATGAAGTCTAAGTTCGTTAGACTCTTTATTACTTTATATCAGACAAGTTTGAAAAACATTATTTGTTAGATAGTTTAAAATGATGTTTATAACTAATTCTGGCTTTACTTGGTATATTTCATTGTTGGTCTGCATTTCTACAGGATTTTTAACAATTCTTTATTACGGACGTATTAATCACTAAATATGGATGATTCCCATCTATCAGCATCCGCTTTCAATAGTATGAAACCAACAAACATTTGCTGCAACATCGAGCGACACTTTTGAAAAATACCTTATTTCAAAGCTTAGAGGAAGACATACAAAATAAATAGAAATTTGAGTTCCAGTAGAAGTGCAACGACTTGTGTACAGTATTGTTTAAGCCTTTAACTAAATTTTTTACTGATATAGTGAAGATTTGTAACTCAGATAGATGCTATTTTCTTTGAATTGGATAGTCTCTTTATGAAGTTTTCATTGCTGTTCTGAATACTATTATTGACGCTTACTTGTACCTGGCCTAGAAAAGACAATACAACAAAATTTCTTTTTATTATTAAATTCCATAATTTATGTTGAAAATACTGTCGATTTTCCAACTTTTTTAACGAAATATAAACTGATAAACTGATTTAAAACTATCTTTCAATGCTGTATTGGAAGTTATTTCAGTGATTCTTTATCAATCCGTGAATCAATATTTACGTCTATAGTTAATGTTTAGCTGTCGTTTGGTAAAAGGCTTACTGTTTTGCTTCTGGTTCCACATCAAATGCAAATTTCAGTTTCGTAAATCCTCAAGAGTGATCATTACATTTGGCTAAAACAAAATATAACAAAACTTCTCATTAGTACAAACAGCTTTCAGTCCGTATATCATAAGAAATTTGGGGACAATAAATATCTTTCATGCCTACCGTCATAATTTTACATTGACTGACACTAAAACTTTATTATTAAATTTAATAAGCCGTATATTTTAATTTCTGGTAAAATAATCGTATATTAATTGTAACTTCATTCAACTCAATATTCTGTACATTTACTAATATTATCTAACTGTTTACTGTAAAAATTGTAAAATAAAATCGTTCGTCTCAGGGGAAAACGAGTAGCCATTGAAAACGTAAATATTAAACGATTTTATGAGAACCGTATATTTTGCCTGATTCCTATTAAACAGTGTTCATAAGTTTCTTTGAGTCTAAATAGTTGCATTTATGTTGCCAACTTGTGTTTAAACTAGTTTAACCATTCTTTGATTATTACTTAGTCCTTTCCTAATAAAAAATTCAGATGTAGGTGTTCGATTGAAAGTAATCTCCACCTTTTGATCTGTTATTGTGAATAGCTAACCCTTTTTAATTGTAGAGTACAAATGTATAACCTTACTTGTTTGCCTATTTAGTCTAAATAAATTAGTCGAGCGTTAAACTGTTTGAAATAAATATTCTCATATTTGCGGGAACCATGTTTTGTGTATGGTTAAAAGGTTTTCAGCTAAAAAATGATGCAATCTACCTTCTAGCCATTAAAGAACATTTTGACGCGTAAAAAAAACAGAACGACATCGGGAATTATGATAGTTCTTGCCTTATTTAAGATCAAAAAGAATCAAAGTTCAGTAAGATTATCTGCGGTCTATACCTTCAAAACTGGAATCAGTGCTTAGTTGAACAGAATAGATTTTACGCATTTCAGTGTCAACTTAATCTCACTGTCGCTAACAGCTTATTTCAGTACATCCCAACAGAAGTCTTCTTTAACTTTACAAATAAATACTACATAACGATTATTCATATGTTTGACTTAGTTGGTTATCCATAGATTTTCCTTACCCGACTATCATATGTTTATTCTTCTTATAATCATCAAAAAAACAAAAGTATAGATTGGACATATCTACTTTTCTACAGATGGTATATATTGAACAAATAAATCTCCTGGTAATTTTGTGACGTCACTTACAATAATATCATCATAAAGAGCCATTATTATCTATGTTTATCTAAACAGCATGAAAATAGTAAACGAAGTGTTCTATGATAAAATCGACCTCAGTAAAAAGAATAATTATCTTGATGCGCTTATATTAATTTGAGGAACCGTAAGATAAACTACACTTAAATTAGACTAATATCCAAACTTCATCCAGTTTAATCATATCACCGTGCCCACTGGTGACTAACCTTGACAATGATCCACAAAATCCTATCAGTAAATGATTAGCAACAGAGTCCGCTCAAGACAGGTGAGTGACAAGTATCGACAATGGATATTAGACGATAACCGAATTAAAGTTGAATGTATTCCACATTGAATTCGTGCTCAGAGAATTAATTACTCGTAATTAACTAAGTAGAAGCTTACATCTTTTATTTTAATAATAAAATCACTAAAAATCCAAAATATACTACACAACTTTTGCTTTTTTCAATTTTATTTATGCATATCTTGAGCTCCTTCTAAGATCTGAACTGAATCACTTGAGATGATCTGATGGTTTACTATCCCGTGTTTAAATTTTCTCAACTACTTTCACTCTGATATGAGTTTTTTCAATTTTATTAGAAACAAGAATTTGATAACTTTTTGAACCTGTTTTGCTTTTTCTGTAGATAAAAATCAGTTTTTCGATTTCATCACTGAATGAATCAAATTTTATTAAGAATTTTGAAATCTCATGTTAACAAGCAGTCTTTTTTAGATCAGCTTAAAGCATTCAACGAAAAGCCAAATGTAAGCTAATTTACCAATTATATTTTTTAAATCTTCTGGTAAATTAATCTTAGTTTTCTCAGATAATTAATAATAATCTAATATGCTTGGTATACGGCTTACATAGTGAAATTCAGAAAGTAAATTTTGCCCTATCTGAGATTCATCAGCCGAATGAATTTACATCCCAGATTTGATGTTTATACTGGGACCTGAACAGAATATCTATTGTTTTAAACATCAAAGAGTTATTGCCAAAGATTACTTACTCACTTATGCCTGTCTCCCTTCGCGTAGGACCACAGGCCACCTACCAGGAATCTCCATTGAACTCCGTCCTGGGCAATCCTTTCCAGTTGTTCCCAGTTGCTACTCATCTTATTGATGTCTGATTCAATCCAAGATTAAATGTGTTCTTTATTCTTCCTATTTTCCGCTTTACTTCAGGATTCCAAGTTAGCGCTTGCCTCGTGATGCAATTTGGTGATTTCCTCAATTTATGTCCTATCCACCTCCAACGTCTTTTCCTAGTTTCCTCTTCAGCTGGGAGCTGGTTTATCCTCTCTCACAATAGGTTGTTGGTGGTTATATCCGGCAACGGACATTGAGTATCTTATGTAGACAACTGTTTATAAATACTTGTACCTTTTTGATGATGACGATTGTAGTAGTTCTCAAAGTTTTAGTTCCGTACAGTAAAACTGTATTGAAATTCGTGTTGAAGGCCCCCTGAATGCCCTGGTACGGCTGAGAGTGGGGAGAGTCCGCTCTCCCTCTCGAAATGCTCTCACATGGCCACGCGTATACAGCCTCTGCCAGGGAAGTCGTACTCATTGCCTTCTCGTGGCGGGGGTGTTGTTTACGAAAATGAGAGGACGAAAAGCGAATGTCCGGCGCTTTAACCGGATTCCAAACCAGTGGTGCACATGGGCTCCAGTATCCTGCGGGAACAAATGGCGTATGAACCAATCGTTGGTCACCGGCTACCATGGGATTGCATCTCCTTACGATGCTCCACTGCCTTGTGGGTTAGACCTTTAGGTCAAAGGCTCGGGGTGTGGCCCCCTAAGAAAACCACCTGCTTCGGTTTGGGCGCCCGGGCAGTATCACAGCCCACACACAAATGATGAACTCTTTATGTCTATGGAAATTATTTTTCTCGCTTCGAAAAACAATCAATTGATTCAAATTATTATCATTACAATTATTGTCATTATTAATACTATTATTATTATTACCATTATTGTCATTATTATTATTATTATTATTATTATTATTATTATCCACATTATTCACCCTCTTTTATACTTATACAGCGGCTCGTCTTTGGTGGAAATTCGACTGTTTCTAAACGTTCTCGAGTCATTGAATGGTTGAGCATTGTATGTTACCACCGAATACGAGAACTGAAGCAGTTTTTCTGAAACCACGTGCACCATTCAAACTGGCTGCCTTCAACGTTCGCACATTTATGCAGGTCGGACAACAGATAGGGCTGGCTATGTCTTTGGAAAGTCTTAATATTGATGTTTGTTGTCTATCTGAGACCCGTATTCAAGACTCTGGTGAAGTACCTCAAATTCGCTCTCCATCTGTCGCTTCAAAAAGCTTGTTTTACGTGCGCTTATCCGGGGAGCCTGTGGCATCTTCGTCTGGTCTTGCTGGCGTTGGTGTCGCACTAAGCGCTAGAGCTGAGGCAGCACTAATCGATTGGATCCTTATTAACAGTCGGTTATGTGCTGTTAGATTGGAAAGTTCCATCAAATTGAGAAGAAATCGGTGTGAGAAACGATGTCTCTTCGTCATCTCCGCCTACTATCCGACAGATTGCAGCCCAGATGCAATCAAGGATGAGTTTTACTACCAGTTATCTGTTCTTCTCCAGAAAGTGCGTTCGACAGATATTGTAGTACTAGCCGGAGACTTGAATGTTCAGGTCGGGCGTCTAGGCACAGAAGGGAGTCTTTTAGGTGGCCGATGGGGTCTCGTTGGTCGCAGGTCATATAACGGGGACCGTCTACTGCAACTTTGCACAGACCACAACCTGTTTCTGTCTAGCACTGACTTTCGGCACAGTCATCGCCGATGTGCCACCTGGCGTCCTCTCTCTGCATCTCAAGCCTGGACTCAGATTAATCACATCGCGATCAGCTACCGCTGGCGTGGTTGTGTACAAGACTGCCGCTCCTTTTGGAGTACCTATCTGGACTCTGACCATGCCTTGGTCTGCGCCAATCTTACCTTACTTTTTAGTGGCCAACGGAGTGACCACCACCAAAAGATTGATGTTAGCAAGCTGGTTGCAACTTCTGTTGCAAGTAAGTATCGAACCGAGCTAGCCTCTTGGCTAGCTACCACTCCACCGAAAAGTATAGATGAGCATTGGTTGCAATTGCATGACGCCATGAAAATGGCGGGTACAGTCAGTTGTGGGTTCGCGAAACGTCCCGCTTATAAGTACTGGGTTTCTGTAGGTTCCTTACGACTCATTGAAGCCCGTCGGTCTACTCCGGGTGACCGTGAGTTTGACCATAAACGAAGGATGTTACGTACTGAAATTGGGCAAAGCTTGTGTAAGGACCGAGAAGCCTGGTGGTCGAAGCGTGCTAATGAGCTGGAAGCAGCAGCTTCATCTGGTAACTACCGGAAGCTCTTCCAACTCATCCGAGCCACTGGCAGCAAGAAGTTTGGTGTGAGTGAAACAATCTGCGAGGATGATGGGATGCCAATCACTAACATCCATCGACGTCTTGGACGGTGGGCAGAATTTTTCGAAGGGCAGTTCAACTGGCCTGCTGCTCCGGCAACATCGGTCAGACTGTCCTGCCCTCCATGGCCGGTGACGACTGATCCACCAAATGAGGCGGAAGTTCGCAAGGAACTCCAACTCTTGAAGCGTTACAAATCACCTGGCCCAGATGACTTACCTCCGGCTCTTTTTAAAGATAGTGGTGACTTTCTGACTAAGGAATTGACGACGTTGTTTACAAAGGTTTTGGAACTAGAGAGTGTACCAACGTCATGGAATGAGTCGATAGTTGTCCCTGTCTTTAAAAAGGGTTCACATCGTTCCTGTAACAACTATCGGGGGATAAGTCTACTTCCGATTGCGTCCAAGCTATTGGCTTCCGTCATTCTTCGTAGGTTGTTCAAAACCCGAGAAAGATTGACTCGCGAGGAGCAGGCTGGGTTTCGTTCTGGTCGAGGATGTATTGATCATATCTTCACCCTTCGCCAAATGTTAGAACACCGCCATACTTATCAAAGGCCAACAATCGTAGTGTTTCTTGACATCAGGGCTGCCTTCGATTCGTTGGACAGCACTGTTCTCTGGGATTGTCTATTGAAGAAGGGTGTGCCTGAGAAGTTTATTAACATCCTAAAAGCCTTATATAAAAACACCTCAGGCGGAGTGAGGGCATACAACCACCTTTCTCCATTGTTCCATTCGAGCAGTGGGGTTAGGTAGGGTTGCCCAATCTCACCATTCCTCTTCAACTTTGCCATCGATGACATTCTGGAAACAGCTCTGATGAATGTAAGTAATGGTGGTGTGGATCTGTTGCTTAGAGAAAGACTTCTTGACCTTGAGTATGCGGACGATATTGTCTTACTGTGCGATAATGCCCAAGGCATGCAATCCGCACTTAATCAGTTGGCAATCAGTGTCCGTAGGTATGGTATGTGCTTTGCACCTTCGAAGTGCAAAGTACTTCTACAAGACTGGCAGGATTCTAATCCTGTACTCACCCTGGACGGTGAACAGATAGAAGTAGTCGAGAAGTTCGTGTATCTGGGTAGCATCATAAGTGCTGGTGGGGGTGTGAGTGATGAGACCAATTCACGAATAGTGAAAGCCAGAGCGGCTTATGCCAATCTGGGCCGCCTTTGGCACCTTCGTGATGTTAGTCTGGCTGTAAAAGGTCGGATCTACAACGCGTCGGTGAGAGCAGTTTTGCTCTATGCTTGTGAAACCTGGTCTCTCCGAGTTGTGGACGTTAGACGACTCTCTGTGTTTGATCATCGCTGTCTCCGAAGGATTGCTGACATCCAGTGGCAACACCATGTCAGTAATGCAGAGGTTCGGCATCGTGTGTTCGGGCACAGAGATGATTATGCAATTGGTGTCACCATCTTGAAACACCGACTTCGGTGGCTTGGACAAGTTCTACGAATGTCGCTCCAGAGAATTCCACGTCGTGCATTATTTGCCGACTCTGGGACTGGTTGGAAGAAGCGGAGAGGTGGTCAGTGCATGACATGGTGTCGTGGGATGAAAGAAAGCTGCAAAGGACTGGCTTGTGTTGGTCCTTCACGACTCTCTGGTTGGGGTATGAGAGATGGTGCTACACAGTGGCTAGAGACGTTATCAGATATGGCTCAGAATAGAAGCCAGTGGCGATCCTGCTGTAACCTTCTTTTACTTTCTTCATAAAAGTGGTAGTGTCTCCCTTACCTGAAAGATTTCTTCTGATTGTACCTTTTCGTTCCCTCGTTACTACCACACAACCTTTACACCAATCTCTTCGTTATTGTTCTCTTTTTCTTTTGCGCTCCTTAGCTTTTTTTTCTTTGTTTGTATTCCTCTCGAATTTTCATTGTTTTGTGTGACGCATATATATTGGCGCTCTCTTGTACCAATATTCATGTGTCCAAATAAATAAATGAGTGCACAGAAATTCGCAAATTTCTCACTATTCTCGTCCCTTTCTTCCAGTCAGTTCTTGTCATCCAGCGATATCTTGAAATTCGGTGTCGTCCATTCCAACGTTGGTGTTTAGGGCTCCCATCACGATCGGTTGCAGCCTCTCATAAAACTAGTCTTTTTCATCTTCGTTGCTAACATTGATAGGTGCATAACGCTAGATAACCTTCATTGTAATTCCCTCCTACTTTGTTTTGAGGGATGCTTTTATGATCCCGAATCCATGGGATTCCATCCTATAAGTGGTTTATATGCTTCTTTCAACAGCACCGGAGCAACTGCCTGAGTGTATGGAGCATTTTCTTATTCGTAAACAGAGTAAAGCAGGATCTTTCCCGAATCTAACCGTTTATGTCCAACTTGGGTCCGATGGATTTCACTTATCCCAAGAACTGCTATTTTCTATCTCTTCATTTTCATAGCTATTTGATAAGTCCTCCTGGCCTCCTCCACTGTCCGGACATTTTTTGCACCTATATTGATTGTTGCTCTGGTTGTTAGAAAGGGCATTGGCCTTGTGACGTCCGGAGAATCTCGGCTTCCACTATGAGGAGTCATAATTCTTCTGAAAGGAAATCCTCCGGCTTCCAGGGCAGAGTTTAAATGATTTAAATTGTTTATTCTAGTCAACGTTCTTTAGCAAGGTTGTTTTATACGGGGATGGGGTTGCTGACCCCAATAATCAACCCTCTTCCTTTACGCGGGCTTGCGACTGGCAATAAACCTAAAAGAGCTACAAGCGGATATACTGAGTCAGAACAGACACTCAATTGTTAAACAAGCAAGGAAGTAATAGAAAAAGTTTATAATTTCCAGTTCGTATTATTCAAGGCTATAATTGACCAGTCTCTATTACAATGTGTATTTCCTGAACGCATTGTCTCGATATAGCATTTTTTCCACAAGTTCTGGTGTGCATGATAATAAGTTAGTTTATTGTATAAATAAGGTCAGTAGTCAGCATTACTATAGGCTTATCATGTGACAAAACGTTTGTCCGACGCTTTTTATTTTTCCACTGCTTTTTCAATCACCCTATTGCTATAACTGAAAGGTATCGGCTTTACTTCGTGGCTGTACGTTAGCGTGACGAACAGGTTTACTTATCATAACTATCCAATCAAAACTAAATAACCGAAGGAGGATATTCTTTCAAATTCTAATATATCAGAATTGTCAGTTGAAGGGCTTTGATACCAGTAGTATGTTTTTAACAGTACAAGCACGATAAAACAAAAACCAATAGTAGTTTTGACTGGTTTCATACGGTTCTGTGTTCATTATCCAAATAGCAACAATACCACTACTAATCTAGTTACATTGTCAGTATGGGTAACCAAAAGATTATAACCGTTTACGCATTTCTAAAAACATATAAAAATGTTTTATTCATGTAATTCATTTATGTGTCCTAATTTTCAGATATTAGCTGCTGTCATCTCATGTGTCGATTCACGTGTTTTAACATCAAAACTTTTATGCTCAAATGTTGGTGAATTATTTATCGAAAGAAATCCAGGAAATTTCATTTGTTGTGAACATTCTTCACTGGAACATTTTAATAAAAATTGTGTTACACCAGGATTTTTAGAGTTGACTTTAATACGATGTAGAATTAACGACATCATTATTTGTGGCCATTCAGATTGTCGGGTTAGTTAAATATTTAGTTAATTAGTAACTATTATGTTTAGTAACTTTTTATACTTAACATCCTTTATTCATTGTCTATCAAAAACTACGTCTCAATCGGAAAAAAATTTTAAACAGTAAAATCTTATCTCAACACATTCTGTTGTGAGAGGGCAATCGACAGGACGAAGGTGTACTTCACATAAAAAGTTACAAATTATTTAAATAATGAATATATATAGCCTTCAATCACCCATTTGCATCTTTCGATGTAAACCGTCTTCTCGTCTAGGTTCCCAGTGTCCTGCCACCGCCATACTTTCTATGTACTGACAATTTTACTCTGACAATTGTTGCAACTTTGATGCCACGTCCCGCTGTATACTACTAACAAACAATCTTGTGAATTGATTCCACTACACTATTAATGAATATACTCATTTATTTAAAAGTAGGTTCCAACTGGTTAATATGAAAGATTATAAACGTTTTGGAAGATAACATAATATTACGATTGCAAACTTCAGAAGTATCTTGTAAATCAAAAGGTAAGAATGTAACAGTATGGAAATTACCATTTCATATTTCTGCACATTAATCACCTTGTTTTACTTCTACCAAACAGTAGAGGATTTAGTTTAGTGAAAATAATATAATGCATTTATCTATAAACTCTTCAACTATTGTTCTGGTATACTTAAAAAGGCTTAGAACAACTTGTAATATGTTTCAGATTAACTGATATATATGACCTACAGTATACTGATGATAGATTTAACCTTTAGTCATTTTTCTAAACTTTATTATTCCAGTTGTATTTACATACGTAATTATTCTTTAAAGAACGTCATCTATTATTTCTTCATTTATCGACGTTTTAAAACAAAACTAAAAACATATATTCACTAATATTTTGAGCTATTTGTAGTTAAACGTCATTAAAAAATCTGAAATAGTTATCTAGGTGAATGACAATGATACACTAATTGATTACGGAATAGTAACTAATGTCATATTTGTCGAAATCCTTAGAGTTGATTGAATTCTTTCAATAAAGTTGTTATAAAAACCACTAGTCAAACTAGCTGGAAACCATGTCTTCAGTATGTTTTTGTGTTATATGATCGAAGAAAATCGGCATTAAACGTGTTATTTAAATTTCATGCTCGTTAACAATTTCCAGCAAGTTATACCTACAACATACAGACATGTAAATAGTATGATTTGATAGGTGGTCAAAAAAATTATGACTGTAGTTACTTCTCAGTAATTAGTCAGTGTACATATTTGAATTCTGATGAATTTCAGTCACAACTCAAACCGTTTAGCATTAATGTCTCTAATTGTGACACTGTGTGACGAGTATTCAAATCCCATGGAGAATTTCAACTCCATAAAGACTGTAGATGGGTCCCACTAATTAACGAGTGCACTCAATGTGTGCCTACAGAGCCTTATCGATAATTTTCAACCATATGACATGTAAATATAACTGTCTTGTGAAAATACCTGGTCTTAAAGCAACTTTTGAAAAGCTTAGTAAATACACAGTACTGGTTGTGTATTAATTGTTTTGTAAGCCTAGGAACTATCCACTTTATATCTCACTTTAATATCACACTTGTAAATACTTTACCTCCTTTCAGAATCTGAATGTAACTGATAAACCTCTGTAAAAGTTATAATTATATAATCAATGAAAGGATTTGTACTTGATTAAATGGAAATTACAAAAATTACCGTTTGTGTCACATCCATCACATTAAAAGTGACTCATTCTTAATTATGCTTTTTCTACTTGACTCATCACTATAGGTTATCTAGAATATATTTAACTGAATATAAGAATGATCTCTGATTCAGTTAGTTTCAGTTCTCATCAAGTTAATAACCTTACCGTTACTTTCGAATACAATTTCTGTAGTCAGTTATGGACTTCGCTATAGTCAGACAATTTTGATGATTTACAGTATAAAATTATACGACGGTCTAATATGATTCAACTATTAATGATTACTGGAGAGTATGCAATATTAACTAAGAATATACATTGAAATATGTACCCAGGATATTTATCAAGGGTAGCATTCTCCATTACTTCATATTTCAAAATTAATTATATAAGGTCTTGTGACCACAATTTGTAGTTGATAAATGTGAAAGTACGTGAATAAAAGTTTAAGTACAATAATAATAATAATAATAATAATAATAATAATAATAATAATAATAATAATAATAATAATAATAATAATAATCAATAATGGTTTAAATGAACGAATTATTAGCGAAATGAAAATTGCATCCGATTGGTATATTTTTGAACATAACGAAAATTTATATTGTCAATGCCCAGTGATATATTTATACATTACACAATGGTAAATGTTTCAGCTTAATCTACAGTCCAGTTGATGTACAGATTGACCATATGTTTAATAATAGTAGACCATTTATTTGGTATCAATGGTTGTATGCTAAGCTGTAAAAATAATATTGTCAAAACAGTTGTTTCAAATGGAAGGTTTACTTTCTATCGAAAATCATAAATCATCAATGTGACTTGAGTTTTTAACCAACTGATAAAATAAAAGTGTTGTAACTTTAAAGAAAACGTTTCGATGAGGGTTGTAAAGATTTATGTTCAGGATGGCATTCAAGCTCTTGTGTTAACGAAATTACCAAAATATTTACAATCTTTCATACTTTCTAATTCCTGATTTACTGTCACGATTATTGATAATTAAATAGATTTCAGACAATTGTCTGTACATATAATTTTAGCACAACATTTACTTACGCCTGATACTCCCAGTGGAGCATAGGCCACCGACCAGCATTCTCGATCCCACTCTGTCCTGGGCCTTTCTTTCCAGTTCCATCCAATTTTTGTTTATTTTTCTCATATCTGTCTCCATTTCTTGGCGTAATGTGTTCTTTGATCTTCCTCCCCTCCTTTACCATTGAGGATTCCAAGTGGGGGCTTGATTTGTGACACCGTTGGGTGCTTTCCTCAATGTATGTCCTATCCACTTGCAGCGATTCTTCTTGATTTCTTCCTCCGCTGAGATCTGGTTTGTTCTCTCCCACAGTAGGTTGTTGCTGATATTGTCCGGCGAACGGATCAGGAGTATTTTGCGTAGACAACTGTTAATAAACACCTGTATTTTCTGGATGATGGCTTTCGTAGTTCTCCAAGTTTCCGCCTCATACAATAGAACTGTTTTGACGTTTGTGTTGAAAATCCTGACCTTGGTGTTGATTGACAGTTGTTTTGAGTTTCAGATGCTCTTCAGTTGTAAAAGCACAACACTTAGGTTTGATAAAATTTTGTTCACTTTATAAATTCAACGGTAGCTTTCTATAAATTTTGTAGCTAGTTACTCATTCATCGTGATAGATAAACCTCTCTGCTCACACTGGGTTTAACCTCCTGATATTCGTTTCTACTGTAGAAGTTTGAAATTTTCACACACCGTTGATTATGCAGAGAAGGTGTAGATGACAAAACATGCAACTACATAAAAGCAGACATCCTAGTGTTTCTAGGAATATTTTAGACGATAGAAATTGGTATGAAACATATGTACTACCAGAAATGAAGAATATTTTTGAAGGGATAAGATTGATTTGTTAAAACTTTGTGAAGTAATGTCTTATAACTTTAGTTTTTAGATTTACTGAACGAATATTGTTGTGAAAATTTAAAGCACCAACATTGAGCTACGTAGTAAACATTGTTATAATCAAATTTTCAATTATAACTAAGGGAATGAACTTGAATTAAATTATCCTCACTTACCTATGTAGATGTTTAGATATGTAGCAAATAATAAAAACACTAGTCGTAATAACGTGCTTGAACTTAAAAAGAAACGAATTCATGATATCAAACCATCTGTTTGTTGAATATAAGATTTCTATGCATAATATTCCGGTCACCAGATCACTTCAGTTACTTGCTGGTCATCTACCGACCATGGTGAACTTAACACCCTTTAGCCTCTTGGTCTAGCTTGTCTCACGAATATATCCGTTATCTTTTTAAGTTGTTCAGTGACAAGTATAATTAAATATAAAGAAATAATTTACTATTTTCGATATCACCACATAAACTAATAAGTTTATATAGCGATAATTAGACAAGGGTATTATTGAATTTCTGAGAATCAATAATTATACCATAGGGAAAGGAAAAATAAAGACAATCATTTACTCCATAACTACTGTACTGGGAACTGAAGTAACCTAGTTTAAGCATTCTGGATTGTTTTACACGTAATTCAGTCTACTGTCTAGTGTATGTATATACATCTGTTGTATATAGCTCTATTAATTCTATAATGGTCAGCTCCAACCTATTTTTTGTTAAATCCAACCTTTGCGTACCATAGTTACCCTTATTCATCTCCATTTTCGAATTATTTAGTTAATAATTAATTTTTAAATATCATTAACTATGTCATAACCAGCCTCATGTTTGTTAATTTCAAATCTTGACATAAAGTTATACTGAGAAAGTAGTTATCATCAATTTAGATAAAGACTTCCGATCAACTACTGCTTTTATAATCAATAGCTCAACGGGAATAATTCATCAATCAACTTTTGGTTGGTTCCGATACTCCTTTTTTCTTTTAATAATGAAATGGAAATGTTTTATAAATTCATAAGCATCAAATAAAATGAACAAACTGACCAATTTCATTTCGTCACTATTTACTACTACATCATTTTAGTCAAATACATATGTATTTTTAACGTAAACTGATGTCCTAAATTTTAGTGTTCTCAGAAATTCTGGCATCTAGTTTTAATAATGAACTGCAATTATTGGCTGAAGAACTACTAAAAACCAGAAAGCACCTGAACAGATGTTTCTCCCTGGTTTAGAACTCTTCAGTAACAATCAAACACCAATCGACTCTGCTTTGAAAATAGAACAGTCACAACCTTAAGACCATTGAGTTTAAATTCAATGTTTCACATTTTGTACTTTCAGCCAATTTAAGATGTTGTGC